TAAACATATATACATACATACATACTAGATATAAATATATAGAGATAATATATAAATATATAGATATATATGTTTAGTGGTTATGACTTTTCAAACTGTGATATTCCAGTTAGTTTGAACCATTTTTTTAATTTGTGAATTTTGAAGTGGATGTGAAGGTTCTCCAAAGAATTCCTTAATATCCGACGACAGGAAGCTGTTCTGAGAAAGACAGCGCTCTGAAGAGGAAGCAGTCAAAATGCAACAATGACCGGATAAGATGCGAAGAGTTCATTTTCCATACAGAAGTCCTTTTGGAAAACTGTGGCAAAACTGAGGTCTTCTTCAGAAAACTAAAACCAGGTGAAGAGTTTCAGTCCGCTGCTGAGTCTCGTCCGGACTGTTTGATTTGTGACGCAGCTGAAACCAGAAGCACAAACAGGTCTGGAGCGTCTCCGATGGCGGGCTGTACTGTGCACCGTGAGACTTGAGGGCAACCAGTCCAACAGAGGACCACCACAGCCACACCAAGGCCATGGCAAGAGCAGAGGGACAATCTTATCCAGACGGAAGGGAAGGAGGGATGGAGGGAGGAAGGGAGGAGGAGGAGGAGCAAGGGGAAGGGGAGTGGGGTCATGTGACAGCAAACTTTCTAAACAAACTTGTGCAGAAGAAGAAAAGAAAAGAGAAAACGACTTTGGCAGAACATTCTTAAAGCTTTGCTGGGTGGTGATTGGCTGATTGCCTCCTCTCCCATTTCCTGTCACCGACACAGACAGCAGGGTAACACTTCATCCACTTATATGACAATATTTACATTGTACTGACTGCGAGGTGTTTCTGTCCGATTCAGCAGCTGAACAGAAACAAAAAATCATCGTTTTGGAAGGTGTGTCTCATTTATGGCCAACGGACGCACGGCAGGAAGAGGAAGTGACGCCACGAGCGCTTTTAACAGTCCTGCTCTCTTCCCGGGAGAATGTTTCTGAAGTTGTATAAAATGGCGATGACATCTACAGATGTAGCCGTGTCCCGTCGCAGGCTCCGCCTCCTTAAACGTCTGAATTTCATGACCAAAATTAACAATTACGTTAAAAAGTGAATCTGGAAAAAGATGAGAGGACGACTTTTCCTCCTTTAGACGACACTCAGGCCCCTCGACGGCTGAGTGCGCACACATATACAGCTACCGGCAATTTGTAACCTAAATACTAAAATTTTCAACAAACATTCAGATTTCGTCACAGCAACCTTGGTAAAGTTATCACAGCTGCTGGTCAAAGTAATTAATCTTTAAATACTGACAAATAAACTAACAGAGGAACTCAAAGAGAGTCCACATTTTGGTCGGTGGCCCCACGTTGGCAGAGGTCTTCGCGAGTCCGGTTTCTAGCAAACGAGACACGAGGTTATATTCGGTCTAATTAGGTTTCTGTCGGGTCCTGTCGTGTCGCTCCTGTTCTCGCATCACTTTTTGCAGCAGGTCTGACCGCCCTCGGACCCATCTGTACTGGGTCTAACTGTCCTCGAGTCCAGAGTCCGTAGACTTAATGCATGGTTTGATATCAGGATTTGCTCTGCTTTTGGTCCTCAGGTTACTTTCTCAGTTTTGGTCCGTCTGTTGGGGTTCAGAGCTTATTTTTTCGGACGAGGGCTGACGCGCCCCTTAAAAAAGAGGCGGAGCCTGAAGTGGGACGCAGCTTTTGATCCTCTTTAAAGTCGTCAGCTCCGACAACAGTCAGTTGGAAAACAGCATCAATCCACTCATTCAAAAGAAAAATCAGCCGTAGTAGCTTCAAAGTATAGAAACAAAGAAACCAAGAGGTTGGATAAATAATTATACACTCCCATTTAATGTTTGATACAGTTAGCTGTATTCACGTTGCATTTGCTGAACTCTAATGGAGTTGGATAACTTGCGAAATCACATAGCGTGTAGTGTATCACAACATCTTAGATAAAGTGAATATACTCATGTAAAAGGGGGCTGAGGAGACTAGATTATTGAGATTCCAATTGAACGGCCAAGAAGAAGTAAACAAGTCACTGCAGGTTTCTGAGCCCTAACATCGGGTGACCAAGACGACACACGTGGCATAAATATTTAGAGAGCTGTAAAAAGACACAGTCCACGTTAGATTCATCTCATTCATGTACTGTACTGTCACCAAACTCTTCAGCCTATACATATATATTCATATATCTCCAAAATATTAAAAAGTACTTAATATAAAAATACAGAAGAATTGTAAAAAATGAGCAAAACATTGAATTTTATATGAAAACCATGCAAGAAAGATTCCCCATTTAGTTAAATAGTAACTCTAAGATTCAGGAAAGCAAGGGAATGAAAGAAAAGTGGTCGGATGAGAGAAGCACAGGCGAACTGCCACCCACTTGCTTTTCATGTAAACATTGTAGAGGTCCTTTAAACTTGGTTCGGCAGTGACGACTGAAGATTTTCTCCTTGCTTTTTGGTCATGTTTGGAGAGTAAAGG